AGACATTCTAGGTTGATCACCTCTGTCAAAACTTTCTAATGCAGACTGGTAGAGTTTATAGGCAAGATCCTATTTTGAGAATTGCAACTTTTGATTTGTGAAGCATTCGCCTTATAGGGTTTGTTAATTTGGGGATCATTTACATTCAGTCATGTGTGACTGTCTCATGCTCAACAGTGCACTGGCAGGTTCAATTGTATATGTCAACCAATTCCAGTAGCTTTAGGTGGATTACAAAGAACATAATAAGAATTAAATACCATAAAGAACAAGAGCAAACATACAATTTCAGACTTATTTCCTGAACTGCTGTAATATCCAATTGCTTGTAAGGATAATGAAGTATCTGTTCACAATATCAAATAAATATCACTGAAATTTCTTTCTAAATGATCAATTACTTAGGCTCTCCTGCTCTTCACTAGCCATATTGTCACTCAGAAAGTTACCCATATCAATTCCCTCTATGAAACTGAATGTCTATACTTAAGACAAAGCCTATGAGAATAAGAAAGGGAACTCATGAAAGAAACAGGTGAGTTGGTGGCAATTAAGTTTTTCACCACTTTTGCTTCACAATGACAATCTTCTTGGAACTGTTGTAAAATGTCATGGCAAAAGTTATTTTGGACAGCATATGAATCTATTCCATTCCATTCCATTCCATTATGATGGAAAAGTTCACCATCATGGAAACTCTGTCAGAGCTCTTTCAAGTTACATTCTGGCTTGGACAATCTCCAACTGAGACCATCTGCCATGCTTTACTTCTCCTTGGTACTAACTATTGACAAACTCATGTTGTGAATCCAGATAGCTTAACAGAAGCACCTGCTTAGACAAATTGTATAAATAGTATGTACTAGATGAGAAACTGTTTGATCCAAAAAAAAAAAAAATAAGTAATACTTCAGCATGTATCTTCCCAGAAATATACAGTACAACTGGCAAAAAAAAAAAAAAAAGCTCAGCTAGAAATAATTCTTGGCTATATAAACGGGCACATTGAGCATACTGTACTCAGAACTTCATTTACTGACAAACAGAAACTAGTGGTTTATAAATTTAAATAGCATTTGTGGGACCTCTTTAGGAAAAATAAATGATTTAAAGCTTATTTTGAGTGAACAGATGCAAATCTATAGAGAAATAATATATTTGGGTTTTTTAAATTTTGTTTTTGTTCCTGAATGAAACATTGACAACTAATTTTTTTTACTTTAAGTATATTTTTGAAACTACATCATTCCTTTTTGAGTTCAAAGAATTGATCATAAATATACTTTGATTCTGAAATAAAGGTATATAATATATCACCTTCAAGGTATTCAGTTTGTTATGTTTGCTTTATATTTATATATTGCCAGGAACACTTATGGTTATATTTTAAAAAAATACTTATTTTTGAACAATCACTTTTATGTTAACCAAAACATTCTCCTCACAATAAAGATAAAAGAATGTTCTCTCATCATAAAATGCACTTCTATAAACTTTCATTTCAGTTTTATATATTACAAGTATAATAATTTACAAATAATTTGCTCTATATTTCATAAAGCATGTGGGATTGATTAATTTTGTATTCTACTTGCTTAAATAAATTGTTCTATAAATTACTAATATTGTCCATTTCCTGAGAATAAATGTTAATTATTGATAAATAAAAGATAGTAAATAAAAATATATTGACTAATAGATTAAAAAAATGCAAAAATTACATATCTTTTTTTTGCCCTATAGAATTGGGAAGCAATAAATATCTTGCAACAACCACTTTTTAAAATGCACCAAGAAAAAAAAAGATTAAGAGCTGTTTGAAAACCATTAAAAGCTAGGGAGAATCAAAAGTATAAAGCATGAAGTTAAGAAAATAGCAATAACACTTACACTTGTACACTGCCACATTGTGCTTTACAGTACAATCTGGCTCTTTTACAATGTCAGCCTATTGCCCCCAACTATTTAGGTCTCATTTTACTGACCTTGGAAGGACAGAAGTCTGAGTTACTTGAGCCCCGTCAGGATTGAACTCCAGCCTATGGGCAAAGTTTGCCTGCAATACTGTATTATAATCACTCTGCCACCAAGGCTCAATTCTGAAACAATTTCTGCCATGGAAACAATATGCTTTATTACCACCAATATCTCCTTTGATGGGAGAAGACAGAAACGATGCTGTTGATGGTTAGAGTCAGAATGAATATTGATATTGATATGGTGATAACTTTTAACTGCATCTAAAGATCTTTGAATAATCTTCTAGATCAGTGATGGCAAACCTTTTAGAGTGCCCAAACTGCAACCCAAAACCCACTTATGTATCGGGTGCCAGGTGGGCGTGGCCCATGGGTGGGTGTGGCTGTGGTGGTAACGGCAGACTGGGTAGGACTAAACAGTTCAATCAATCAATTCCAACTTTGCGAGATCTTTTTTTTTCCCATGAAAAGATGAAATTGATTGATTGAAAAAAAATTTGCACACGGTGGCAGAGGCCTAAAGCAAAAAGGTTTTATAAAACCCAACTGAAGGCCTAGGACTGGGGCGATAGCATGTGTGCCCATAGAGAGGGCTCTGTGTGCCACCTGTGGCACGTGTGCCATAGGTTTGCCACCATGGTTCTAGATAGAAGGTCCATGCCGAGCATCCTGTCTTTTCAACTATCATGATTAAAGCCAATGGCTGAGAATTAACAATGTGCAAATATTTAATTAGGGATGGGATGGCTTTTGCTAAGACCATTTCTGTTGAAATAATTCAACCTAGTCTAATAGAGGAGCCAAATAGATTGCGTCCTACTGAGCTGAGACTAAATAAAAAAACTGGGGAGGCACACCCAGAGGGAGGCGTGGCTAAAGTTATGACTTAGTCTCATCTGAGCAGGAAGGCTGAGATTACCCACCGGTGGATTCTACATTCATCCTGCTGGAGAATTCTGCTTTCTCCTTTTGGTGCCATGGATTAATTTTTTATTTTATTTTTACTGAATTCCTGGCCAGTATTTCACTCTTGAATTTCTTTGGCCTATATTTTCTATTTAACATGGAAGAAAACAATAGCAAAGACTGCTTTTGTTTCTGTTGCTTTCCTTCCTGAACCTTAAAATAAACTTCTGAGCTGGCAACCTTTATCAGTTTAGCTGTTCTGATGTCATCAAAGGTATGGAAAATGCTAACATTTATGGCATAAGTTCCTTGTCTAGCATTGCTACACCTAGTGTCTATTGATCCAGAGTCATAACATGAAAACAGCCAAAAAAGCTGTTTATGGCAGCTTTTCTGCAATTATTTACTGTGATTTTTGCATGAGCTTTGAGAAGGGGGACTAATAAATATTTGCCTAGTTTACAAATCTTGCAGCAATAATATTTTACAGATCACAGGATATACTGCTTAGCATCCATAGCTAAGCAAATATAATTCTTCTTAAACTGTCATAAACACAGTAAACAAGAATGAGGAAGAAAATTTTTGTTGTAGCTGCTATTCAAGACTGAACATCTCAGCTCCCCTGACACAAGGAACCTTAAGACATGAACTGTTCTTCTCAAGTTCCTAATATCTGAGATGATATATTTGCCAGATATATCACCACTGTTTGCTTAAGATAAATAGAAAGCAGGAATTCTAATGACAGGGATGGTGGATGAACTGCCATATACAAGATGTTAAAGAGATACTGTAGGAATGGACAAAGTCCTTCAGTGCTACCTTGTTCAGATGGAACTACAAATTAAATGGGAACAAAGCAGCTGAGCAATCCAGCTATATGACTATGGGAGGGGGTAGGTTTCATATATTTACTTTGTAAAGATAGCTGTACAATAGCACAAGAATTAATGTTATTCAGAGATAATGAAAGTTGATCCACTTTGAATTCTACAGAAACAATACACTAAGTTAGAAGAATAAATTGCTTCACAGACAGGAGATGGGAGGATCATATTTTTAAATGAGTTAAGCACTGTATGAAAATAGAAAAACAACATAGCATGAAAAATATTGGCAAGAACATTTCTTCTTAATGTTGGGGTTACATGAAAGACCACTTTCCCAGCTATTTATTAACTGTATTCTGGTTTAAAAATGAATTGTATTCACTTTTAATTCTATATCTCTTTTTTTTTTCTTTTGATATTCTGGACATGAGTATTATTGCTTGAATGGTTAAAACAGTAAGCTCAAACATGAGAAGGAAGTATCAGCAAATTTGGGAGAAGGTGCAGGAGTAAATACAATACTAGGTCAGCATATTTTTACAAAATATAAAATACCTGCTGTATTATTAGCTGACTAAATGTTGTGAAAGAGGTAAGAAAATATGAGAAAGCTAGAATTCTGAACAGAAAATGTTCTGCAGTCCAATTTTTCTACTTGCTTAACATTTTATTACTGTTGCATTTTGTATGTGGCTTTAGAAGAACTGTGTTTTTAAACGTAAAATACAGTTTATTTTTATATCTGAAAAAGACCAATGCAGTATTATGCTCAAATTATCCTTTGCTTCCAGATGTATAAACAATGCAGGAAATTACAATAATTTGTTTCTCATTATCCAATGTCTTACTAAGGTAAATAAACATAAATACTAAAAGAAGCCCAGAGGTCACGTGGTAACCCTATTATGTTTTTGTGAAACATACTTATAAATTGCACCAAAAGCTAGCAGAGCTTATAAAATTGGTAAAATTTATATATAAAAGAATTCCAATTATCAGAGCAAGAAAATGCTCCTTTAGAAAATGTAGAGTTTTTAGAAATGTGCTCTGCTAGAAAATGTCTGCTGCTTTAAGGGGTATATCATACTGCTTTTCTTTATAAAAAAAATACTGTACTGAAATATTTAGTACTAAAATCCAGGGGCTTTGCTGATGCATTAGTTGGGAAAAAAACAGCTTTCCAATTGTAAGGTGGTAAAAGTAAAGTAGTAGCTATATTAAGATAAGAAAAGTACTAAAGGAAAAGCCAGTTGAAATCCATTTTTTTTCTTTCAGATTAGAATAAAGGCTGTTATGATGCCAAAGCTGCAGTGTACATAGCTCAGTTAATAGTTAAAAATGGAGTATGGTAAGTATCCAGAAGATAAGTTATGGATATTTTCTCAGACATTCAATCAGGTTTTTACTTGTTATAAGTGATTCTAAGGTCGCAATCTTTACTGAGAATAATTCTTATTGATCTTAGAGGAATTTATTTTGAAATTTTGAAATGGGTGTTAAGGCACTGCTAATTAGATTAGCTTTTGTTAAAGTGCAATCAAAGTTCAGGATTCTTGTGCAGAGAAACTATTATTGTTCCTCATTTTTTGAGAATATAAAACTGGCAAATCTTGCTTAACAAAATCAAAGCAAAATTAAGTTTGATATGGAGGGTGTTACATTTGGAAAAATGTTGCAGATCAAATTGTACCTCTTTCCTAGGTGTTTAAATACTTAAGAAGCGCAAAAGTGTTCAAATAATAAATTAAATAATAATGTAAAAGACAAATACTGGGGGAAAAATTCTGCTGTGGTAGTGCCAAGAGTTAGCACCAGTGCTGAACAACCTTCACTGGAATAGCAAAGGACATGATGTGATGATATAAGCCAAAACCTCTGAGATTTACTAAATTAAGACACTAGGGCATGCATATATATATATATGCCTACTGTATATTGAAATGACCCACCCCTCCCCTCATAAAAGGAGGAAGGGAATTAGGACATAAAGCATCATCTCCCATATGAATTTGTAACACAAGACATTCCCGAAGGAGCAAAAAGCAAGCTAAGATCAATGTATTGTCATTGTTCTGTAGAATTAAAAATACTGTACCTATGAATAATGCAGATGCTGACATGTTTGAGATAATGTGCAGAGTAATTGAGAAGTGAGATTTGTGAAGTGATAAGGTATCACAGAGACATTGACTTGATTAACAGTCTGCACAAATTGTCATAATCATGTAAGAGAAATGTCTTCCCAGAAATCTCTCTATTATACTTTTCTTCTAAATCAAGTGGCTAATAATTGGTTTGTAAGGGATTTCTCAAACAAAATTAGTGGGGAATTGATTTGTGAATAAAAGTTACTGAATTACTGAGATTCTGGATAGGGTGCAGCCATAGAAATAGATAAAGTTTACACATGTCAATTAATCAATTAATCCGAAGACGCATTAACAATCTTATTGATTTAAATTCAAAATGTAAGCAATAAGAGTGCAAACCCCAACCACAAGAGATAATTTTCCAACTTCTAAGTTACAGCTCCAATGATTGCAACCAAACTTTATGAAATATTCTCTTGAGAGGAGGTTTTACTATATTAATCTCATTTTAAGATTATATTAATTTCATCTTATTCAAAGCAAATTGTCAATGGTTTACTAGAATAGCATATTCAAGCTCTTATAAATAATATTACATAATTGAGCCTGTTCAAATAACTAATACACATTCATAAACATCATATAAAACAAGGTTATTGGTGAAGGAGACACTGTGACTTATTTCCACCAAATATAGAACTTTAAAAGTAGTAATAGCACATCAATTAAATAAGGCCAGATAATAATTATTTGATTTCAATAAACTGTCATAAACATTCTGATTAAAGTAAGGTCATTTACCTAAATCAGATTTTTGGATTGTTTTAAAACTCAGATTATTCTATAACATAATATTGTTTTGTGGGGAAAAAGGTCAAAATTATAGTTCTGACCAGACAATCACCTAGAAAGTCCTGTTCCTCAACCTTGTTTTCCTTCACAGGGGGAACTGCAGAAAAGATGTTAAGAAAAGAAATGATCCTACAGAACTTCAAGTTATGCAGGTTTTTGGAGATAATATCTAAAGATTAACAGTATAGTATCGAAACAGTTGATATTATAAAGCAATATAGTTGTCAGATGTTGAATTAGTTGCAGATTCCAAATGCACTTAAGCAATCAAAAATTTACAAGCAAATTTACAAACAAAGCGCATTGTAAAAATCTAAACAGAAGGTCATTAGCAAGAAAGATACAATTGGCTGAAGTTTTTGTTGAAAAACAGTTTCCCTAGATGCAGCAGCCACCTGTTGCCTATTTCTGGACCAAAAAAAGGTCTGAAACAGCTCTGGAAAGTTTGTAAATAATGGTATCATCCAGAAAGTCTGGAACAGAATAGAATTGAACTGAACTCTTGTTCTAGAACAGAGATGTCAAACATGGTCAGTATTTAGAGATGTAATTCTATTCTATTCTATTCTAACTATGAAATGTCTATATATTTCTTGAAGTGATTTATTTCTTTGTTTTAAATGAAACTATACATAAATCTTTCCTCAAGAAACAACTTTTGATTTCATCTCTCTGTACAGTGTAAACAGGATGGGAAAATATCCAACAAGCAAGTAGCCTGGTTAATCTTCAAACTCACTTATCCACACTTCAGGTTGAAGAAGATGAAATCATTCATTAAACTGAGACAAGTGACTGTCTTAAACACTATCCCAAAGTGGCTCTCAATGTCAGACCAGATATGAGCAATTTTATCAACAATTTTCTGCAAACACATCACAGGGGATAGTAAAACAACAACACATCTCATAAAGATTTGTCAACCTCTTCACAATTTGAAAACATTTATTAGATCACACTGTACTGATTCAATTGTGATAGGAAAGAACAATCAAAGACAAGGCATTGCAAATTAATAACATATAATTTTGCTAAGATCTTCAAAAATCCAAGCAGTTCTTGTGATAGGAGGATCTATTCAGGTCAGGTAAAGGCTATACATTAACATGTGTGCAATATATATTGAAATTAATAAATGATTGACATAGCAGAATGATATTTTGAATGGCTGCCAATGGGAAAGTTTCAGGTAAATGTTGAAGTTTCCTGAATATGTAGCTTCTAGGAAACTAACAACTCAGGAAGATTATTACCAGCTTGAAGAAACAGGGCAATACATCAGCATAATCTTAGTACCTTCTCCATATTCTTTACTAGATTAATATACTCAGATTTTGAAACTACCTAATCTATTCCCATCATAAGATAATAATTTTAAGAATGATCATTGCAGCATCACTGTCTGCTTATCAAATCTTATGTATTTTGCACAGATTCCAAGTGAACAGCATAGGATCAAACAGTAAGTTGCTCAGCACATATCAATGCACATTTGGAAAGAAGAGATGAATAATGGTTCATAAATGAATCACAGAGTTGAAAGGGATTCTCTGATGTTCAGGCCTAACTTCTTGTTCATGGAACTATCCATGACACTTAGCTATGAAATATCTTGACTTGAACACATTAAATGAGATCATCATGGCCTTTGCTGATTATATTCATATAAAATTGTTCTGTTAGGAATCTTCTCCATAACCTTGAACCAGAATATGGTTTCCTGTAACTTAAGCTTGGAAACTATACTTCTATTTATATAGTCTAAGATTACATTAGCTTTTTTTAGCAGCAGTGTCAATGCATTGATTCATATTGTGATCAACAATGTTAGGTGTTACTACTAGATCAGATATCTCTAATTCTTAAGGGAAGAACTTCATATTTGTCTCTATTAAATTTAATTCTGCTATTTTCTGTCCACTTCTTTAATCCAACCTAAAATTGTTTCCAATTTTAATTCTGTCTTCTATAATATGACATGATTGCACTGCCTTTTAATGGTGTAAAGCACCTAGAATTAGTGAGACATGGTAGTGAGGCATTTTTTAAAATTTATGTAAATAACTAAATATGTCCATTTGGAATCTTTTGTCATTTTATTAGCATTCTTATCGCCACTTACCAAGTCCTTTATAAAAGTGTTCAATATGTAATAAAACTCTACAGCATTTCAGATGAAAATTTGTTCAGTTTGATATTGGACCAGTTACAGGAATTATCTGACTACTCTTTTAAAGCCAGCCATGTTATGTACAGTCAAATAATGCTTTGGTGGTATCAGGATATACCTAATGCATTGCCATGATTTAAGAGGGCAATTTGGAAATAAACCTCCGTTAGGTTATCAATGACAGACACTCGCAGATACAGAACTTTTTATTATACATATTAGAAAACTACAACTTTACAATACTTTTCAACAAAATTTCCATTCAAATTGAGGCACTTCTCATAATGTCTTACAAGATTCGAAATTCCTTCTGCAAAAAAATCTCCTGCCTGGGAAGGAAGCCACCCTGTAACAGCATTGTGAAGCGCATTGTTTATCGCTGACTAGAGATGGATGGCCACTTCTTGCTTTATCATGCACATCAGTTCGTCCATCTTTAAACATGTGACACCATTGATGTACGACATCTTTACTCATCATATTTGGTCCATAAACATTACACAGTTTGAAATGAATTGCAGCTGCCGAAAGTGTTTTCACAAACAGGAATCGTATTACTGCATGCACTTCACATTTGGCAGGATTTTCTATGGCAATTTTCAATTGATCTAGCGGACGAGTCAACTGCAACACAAACTTCTCCTTCCACTTCTCACTACCTACTGATCTACTGTGCATAGCGCCATAGGATGGGCATCACTATCCCTGCCTATTTCTTGCTCAAATGGAGATTTATTTCCAAATGGCCCTCGTATTATGAAAATTCTATGATCAAAGAAAAAAATGTGATTACTCAGAATGATATTTTATGATACAATCTAGACATCTTCCCATGCATTCATATGAAGAACCCCTCAACAGTAGTCACCAAGTCCTCTTTTTCTGAAAATGAGGAAACATTGACATAATCCAATCATCTGATGCTTCATTCTTTAGCATATTTTAGCATATATATTTTTAATGCAATGGATATAAGTTCAGATCACTAGCGATTCCTTTCAGTATCCTATAATGCACTGGATCAGATATATGAAATCATTCCAGGTCAGAAGATATTCCCATATTTTTTTTCAGACTCAGTCTAACACCCAGGTACGTGCTAGGGGTCCAGAAACCAAAGCTTTCCATCTGTCATTTTTGTAACTAGTTTTGCACTTGCTATTTCTTCTTTTCTAGTCCTGTCTCTTTCATAGACTAGAAAGCCTCCAGTTTATATAGCTTACTTCAGTCAACGGATGTTGTAGAATTACATTTCTGAATGATTTTTCTGTAAAAGTTCTGTAAGAATTATATTGCTGAATGATCAACAGATGCATCTTGAATACAAAGAGAATTTTATGTTCCATGGTGAAAATGACTGCAATTAGTTATATAAGGACTGATTAAATACAATTATTATTGTTCTTTGTGCCAAGTACTTCTTGAAACAGTTTATCACCGGAAGATTTGCTCAAAAATTTGCTATAAAGTTTCTGTGAATCATTATACAATGATCATGGAGGAGCACAAACTTATCTCCACATAAAAATGGGTACTTTCCAACAGTATTTGAAATCAGAAGACAACTAAACACAGAAAATAATAAATCAATTGTTCCCAACCATTTTTTTCCCAAAGTAAACCAGAATCTTTCAAGACTCAGTTAATATAATATAATGAATTTGAAGAAAGTTTTCCCCACAATTAAAGAATAAATAAATTCATTTTGGAGCTCTTCCACTTTGTGAGGACTTTTTGTTGTACAAACTCTTATGATATTGAAAAATATCAACAACATGACCAGTCTTTTTTTGTCATAGAATACACCAGAATGGAGTTCTGGCACCTTTTTCCGATGGATTCTCCAAGTTTTAAAAGTAATTTTTGAAAATTTGATGTTTAGTCCACGTGGACTTGAATTGCCCTGTTGAGCGTAGCAGGTCAGGGCAAAATCATTAAAATGGTGCATGCAGACTGCTTGTGTTTCGATGCATGCATACTTCGTCTGCATTGGTTGTGATGGCGCTGCTCAGCTTGTGCCACTGCTCAGCTTGTGATTGGTTACACGCTGAATGCTTACTGTGGGCGGCATCCGTTATGTTTCATTACACAACTGACGTGTGTGGGAGTGTGTACAGAGATTGACTACATGCGAAAAGTAAATAATTTCTTTATTTTAAAAAATCATTGGTGAATTGAAAATCTTTTTTTTAATTTTTAGTGTAAAATTTACTATGAACCTCTGCCTTAAATACAATAAATTAAATTTATGTTAAGGACTGAATATATAATTTTTTAAATAAAAGATTAACAAGATATGAGTTCTGGCACCTTTTTTTTTTTTTTTACAAAAAAAGCACTGAACGTGACCGACATATTGCTATGAATACCAAGCATGACAGCAATTTCCTTTTGAGTGATCCACTAATTGTCCTTCATCTTCAAACAAGTTCTGAAGTCCTGCTCCTCATCATTTCAGTCAAACATATGCTTTCTAAAATATTCAATCAAGTTTGGGAAAAAGTGGAAGTTTTATAGCACCCAAATCTGGATTGTATGGTGGGAGGTGTAAGGTCGTGAAATCCAATCCATCCTATAGTATTGGGTGGCTCAGGAAGTATGAGACCCAGTGTAATCAATTTGCAGCAAAATATCCTTTGTGTTTCTAAATTCTGCCTTATCATTGTTTCAAAGTTTTGAGTGTTGCAATGTAATATTCTGAGTTAATAACAGTCCCTGGAAATTCATGCAAATAATACCATCTGCATCCCAAATTTCTGTAACCAAGAATTTTGAATCTCTCCCAATTTGCAGGTAAATCTTGGTGATGATTCACCATGGAGTAATGTTTAGTTCCTGTGCCATGTATCACTGGCTGTCATAGTTCTGTGAAGAAATATCTATTCTCATATGACAACAGTTGCTGGCAAATTTCAGTTCCTGAAGCTTTCATCTTTGCTGTCAGCATGAGAGGAACTTATCTTGTACAAACTTTCAGATATTGAAGAACATCAGTAACGATGTTTGATGTTCTTCATTGAAATACAAAGGTTGATATCAATATGTCTTTGACCCACCAAATTATTTTCCATCAGTTCTTCAGCCTTTCTCTTTTTAACAATTTTATTAAAAACTATATGAAACAGATAAATCTAAACTAAAATATTCTCCCCAAAGATAGTAAGAAACTGAAATCCCCCCCTTCATACTCAACCAGCATATCCAAAATTAACAAACTATTCCTTTCTTAGATTACAACCGAAAAATCTTTATTCCACATTTATTTATTTATTTATGAGACTTATATACCGCTTTAAGTGCAAGCACTCTCTAAGCGGTGTACACCAGTAAGCAATGTATATATATATTTACATTGCCCCCAACAATCTGGGTCCTCATTTTACCTACCCCGGAAGGATGGTCTCATCCCATTTTCTATAAACTCATCTGTAAACCTTCAACTTATTAATCAACAAAGGCCCAGTAGAATTACATAATTTTAATTTAATTACATAACAAGACAAGTATATAATCTCCCTTTCCATTTAGTCTAAATCCCCCTAATCCCTTTCAACAATTAAAAGTGTAATAATAATAATAATAATAATAATAATAATAATAATAATAGTAACGACCACAAAATAAACAATGTTACACAAAATGAACCAGCTAAAGTGCTCTGGGACATTTGAATTCAAACAGACAAGCATCTACCATATAACACCCCAGACTTAACAACTGTCCATAAGAAAGACAAAAAAACCCTGGATCATGGACATGGCAGTACCTAAAGACAACAGAGTAGAAGAGAAAGAACTGGAGAAAATCACAAAACACAAAAACCTGTAAATAGAAATAGAGTGACTGGCAAAAGAAAGCAAAGATAGATCAGTAGTAATAGGCACCTGGAGTGCAGTGCCAAAACAACTGGAGCACCACTTGAACACCATTGACGTTACCATTGTCAAGTCAGCTTTCCATAGAACAGATTATCAGTTTATCAATCTTAAAGAAGAAATTAAAATAATAAACTGCAACGGATTAAAAGGGCTTTGCTTAAGGTTGTGTGGGTCCATGAGGGCTGTTTTTACAGCTCAGAGATGATGGAACTCCTGACTCCCAGCTCATTGCAAGCTGCAGCTGCAGAAATAACAGTATCTCCTGTCTGCTCACAGAAGTCAGCTGTATGAAGTACAGGTTCAGAGAGTATTTTGGCAGCCGAGATCTCATATTCAGCTGCTTTTTCAGCAGAAATGCTACCACAATCCACCAGAGAAAATGCACATGCTAGCTTGCCTTGCTTCACTGGACGCCTCCCACCTTTCTGATATGAACCTTGTTGATTGCTTCCCCATTGACTTTGCTCATGGAAATCCAGCAGGAAAGGTTACAAACCTCATTGACTGCAGCTCCCTGCTACATGTAATTGTGAGCTAGACATCCAAGAGCCCAGATCATAAACATGTGCTTGCAGGAATGCTACAATGGCTGGAACTTTGAGGACTGGTTCTAGGTCCATTTTTCAATGTCACCATAACTTTGAAAAATCACTGAATGAGTGGACAGAAGCCAATGGATACTTGTACTCAAAAATTCAGTCATGTCACATTGTTTAAAGCACACTGATGAGCATGCAGCCTTTCCTTATAGCTACTTCCCACCAACTGAATTAAATAGGTAATGCTAAAAAAAAAAACAGATCAGAGCTTCTAACATATGTTGGTACCTTATAAACTGGAAGGAGTTACTTTTCATTCAACCTTTGTATAAGTCACATATGTTCATTCCTCACCATCAGGACTGGAATTTTCATTGTAGCCATTGCAATCATAAGTCAAATCAAATTGTTAGGCGGATCCATCTTTCCCAATGGGTGTTTGTTATTGTTTTTGCCAGAAATTGGCAAAAAAGATCCCAAATTATGATCATATGACCTCAGAATGCTGCAGCCAGCTGTAAATGTGAACTGGTTGCTGAGCACCCAATTTGTGATCACATGACTGCATAAATGTAAATACATATTGTAAGTCACATTTTCCAAGGTCGCTGTAACTTTGATCTGTGGTTAAATGAATGGTCATAAATCAGGATCTACCTATAAATTGTATGGAATGAAACAAGTAAATTCAAAGGGCTGATGGTTAAAAACTTATAAACTAGCCCAAACTTTTATTGTCAGGTCTCATATACTCATTTTGACTCTCATGAAAAAAACAAAAACCTAAAACCCTTTGATGATTTGAGCCAGACATTTTGTCAACCTGCAATCTTTCTTCAGTTCCAGACTTTCAAAGCTGATGCAAGTCTCTTGTGTCCTAGCCCCTGAACCTTCATTTACTGTTTCAAAACTAGTTCTCTGTATTTGCAATTATGTTTGATCCAAATGCAAGGGGGAATATGGAAAATAGCATCATCTTAGTATGCATCTTCCTGTTCCATTCGGAATACATCAAGCAGGAACTTGGCAAAGCTATCAGTAGATTCAAGCAATGCAGCAATTCTGATATGACACATGATTTGAGCTATACATTAAATATACCTAAAATGCAGCATGGCTTTATAGATAAGCTATAGCGTAGTAATAAAAAATGAGAAAGAATTTCACACAAAAGGATTAAAAACATGAGAGAGAGAGAGAGAGAGAGAGAGAGAGAGAGAGAGAGAGAGAGAGAGAGAGAGAGAGAGAGAGAGAGAGAGAGAGAATTGTATTACACATCCTACTGGGGGAAAATTTGAGCATTTTGGTCACAAATACATAAAAGTTAATCACAAACAAAATCCATTGCTTGCGATATACAACTTCCCTTGGAAATCCCTATGGATGCAAACACTACACGGAATCAGAGATCAGACTACAGATGGACAACGTCTTCTATGTCAGAGGCCAGAATGTAGTCAAGAGGCTGACAAATTAAGACATCCTTGGATTATGTAGGTTTCATAACTAAAATATTTGGGAGGTTGTTATGCTAATGCTAATAAGAGTCTTCCAGAACTTCAGACTTCACATTCCCCTTCTGACCTTTATTTTCACATTTTCCTCTGAACACTGTAGGACCAAAGATCAACAATTTTGTCACAGTTTGGCATATGAACTATAGCTCAGTCTGGGGCTCCTGAATACCAGGGACCTCATTTGGCTGCACACAGAGAAACCCCTTTCATAGAAAAGAACCCTGTGCTCATATGATCACCAAGGTATTTTAAAGGATCATGTAATACCATGCATAATGTATATCTAATCCAGATTCTTAAATGGTCCCGTTTCTACTGACCTTTTTTTCCTAATGACTTAAATAATTAAAAAAAGATATGGTGGAAAAAACTTCCAGAGGTCACCTTCTGTTAACCATTTAATGGGGAAGAGCTAACCTGATCTTCACATCTCTAATTAATAAAACTTTCAGTGTTTTTTTTTTTAAATCCAGACTTCCTATAACCGCAGGATAGTTAAAGAACTGCAACAGCGGATAGGAAAAATATATAATATGAATAAGCTTGTGATTTTTAATAGCAGGCATACACAGCTTAAGAGCCAGCAATGTACAGCTTTACTTCCAGGTAATGCAGCCACTCATTTATCATTCCCAATCGACATTTATTTAACCTTGGTGGGTTTTTCAAAATCTCTCCGCTGCCAATGTTTAAAGTTGTCCAGCAGGCTGCAAGTCTTATAGCCCTCTATAGGCTTGTATTACCTGTTCTGCACCATGCTCATTGCTATCCAATCCAAGGGGTAAACGTTTTTTCCAATCAGATCTTTAAACATTATGAAAGTTTCCATCAAAAAGTCCTAGTGGAAAAAATACAGATATTTATCTTTTATATTTAAATATCATACATTCCTCAAATACAGAAAAGAAATCTTGTTCCCATCTTGCAATGTAACTTGCATATATATTGCTGATTCGATTATATAGAATGCTTAATAATGACTGCAGCAATCGAGCAACAGAACAGAAAAAAAAAATAAGAGCAGCGCTAGCATTTTATACCACTCATTTTTGCATGAAATTGCACTGACATGGTAAAGCAACAAATACACTAAAATTGAAAAGTACCCGATTAAAAAAAACAAACTATCCAGCATTGATTCAAAATACTAGTTGATCGACATAATTTCCCACTTTTATTTTTTAAGACTGAAACTTCAAAGGCAAACCTGTTATGTAAACTAACATTCATTACTATATGCATCAAAAAGAAAAATAAACCAGCCCATTTTGAGATGAATGTGCTTGAGACTGTTTCCCATGAAAACTTACCACTAATTCTGAGCTCGTCTGAAAAGTTTCAATGTATGAAGAATAATGCTGATTATTCATTTGGTCCAGGATTGCTGTCATGCAGGCCACAAAATGACTCTGCAAAAGAAACAGATTAACAGGGATGAAATGTATATACATCTAGATTAAATCTAGATTAAATACATTAAGTGATAAAATAACACATTTATATTATGCCCGTAACACCAACCTCAACAACTATTTATCTTATTGTATGATTTAGTTCATGTTGTTTATAGGTTTTGTAAAATCTTATCTTTTTTAATATTGTACACTGCCCAGAGTCGTAAGATGGGCGGTCAATAAATTAAATAAAGATAAATTAAATTAATAAAAGTAACACATGCCAAATAATTGATGGGAAAAAAGAACTATTTCTGCTTATACTGTGTGAGCTACAGTTTTCAAAACTTCTCAAAATAAATAGACTCGGATGTAAAAATGGGCAACGTTTTGCTACACAGATACAATATCACAGTTTGGTACAGAGAAATTTAATATTATTTTCTTAAACAAATTAAAAAAGACAATACATTTTCAAGAAATTTCTAGAATTTTGTTTTGAAAAAAATGTGTTCTTAGAGAAAGTTCAAATAATCATAAAAATGTTAAGTCTACATTTCATTAAAAGGAGAATAATTCTATTTGTGAAATCCTAATACTGATTTCACTGAGCAAACAAAGCTGTGTAAAAAGGGTTGAAGAAAGAGAAGAGATTAAAAAAAAAAAAAAACCATCTTAAAATTAGCCAGGCTGTATCGGTGATAAAAATGTCAGCCACCCTTTCCAAAAGTGGACTCAGAATTAGAACAAAGGGGGAAAAAATCTTCCCTGAGAAGATTCATACATTTCTTGCAAGTACATTTTTACACATATCTTAATAATTCTCCCCCAAAACATGACTTGCATTTGTAATATAGCCAGTGTGAGCTGTCAATTACACCCATTTAAGTGTCATCTGTCTGCTTGAGATGTTTGAAGTTCTTTTAACTGCAGCCCTAAGAAAATTTAACACACAAGCTGACAAATGTATTCTTACTTTTCTAATTTGCGGATTTATACCTGTTCTTAAAGCATCAAGCTCTAATAAATCGTAGTAGATTAAATTTTCCTAGGCTGAAACTGGCTGGCATTTAACACTAAGCCAAGTACCTTTCTCCCAGAATTATTTTAAAAAATAGCTTTTTGAAAATTCTAAAAAAACAACAACATATATGCATGTCCACTACACACCAGAAAATTCAAGTTAAGGTTATCTGTCTATCAGACTTGCTTCACATTTAGAACGATTGCTCATTCTAATTGGAAATTTATACGTCAAACTAACCTGAGACATCTGACCTCTCCTTCCCTAAATGTATGTTTTTGATTGTTTTTAATTCTTTAATAGCAAAATACAAGGTGGCTCATGAGTGCAAACTGTCTGTACTTTAATATATCCAACCATTTTGTCTACTACAGTACTTAAAGCGAGAAATGAAGCCTCTTTAACTTCAGGTTGTAGCCACTAGAGGTCTTTTTTTTACTTTCATACCGTAGCTTCTATTCAGATGGTGCTGCTTTTTTATTTATTCCTACGTGAGCAGACCAGTATAGTTCTGGCATATAAACTGTGCAAATTACTACATAAATGATAACTTATTTCAGCTTTTGGAGTTACCTTTTCACTATTAGAGCTTTGGTTATCTATGGAGGTCTAAAAGGAGAGATTTGCAGCAGGTAATCCCAGATCTTTCAGGTAAGGATTTCTGTAGCTTTTGTTACTAATGCTCTTCTCTTTAAGAAAAGCTTATGTTTTACTTTTGAGAGGCAAATGTTATATTTTACTTTTAAGGGACAGGCATTTCTGGATCCTATGGAGATGTTAGAATGTGAGTTAAAAATTGCAGTTGTTTGAAGATCAGCTTTGCTATTCAAATGTACTGATTTTATTGCCTCTAGAAACCAAAAAGAACTCTCATAAGTATAAACAGTAGAATCTTAGATATTCAAGATTGCTCTTTTCATTTGATTTGAAAGCTTTTCAAAATATTCCTGCTTATCCTTCCCAAAATGATTTCCACTAATCCCTTGTGGCTTAAGCAACATCTTCGGAAAGATCCTGTTCAGCAAAATAAAAACTATTTTTAAAATGTAAATCTCTCTGAAAAAAGCCAATTCTCAAAATCTGGCTATTTGTGTACTGCAGCATTGTAAATGCATTGTTGTCCTACATGTGTGTGCAGATTTACTAACTGCAAATGGGAACAGTGTGAACTAACAGATGACATGCTTTGTTTTATTAAAACAATTCAGCTGGCAATAGAGTTAAAATTATGGTTCTGCTATCCAGTTTTGAGTCACTGATAACTGGGTGCTGAAAATACAAACTAGAGGTACATTTTCATGCTGAAACATTGTCTCATACCAGTGCCATTCAGTAACTTCACTTTATAAGCAACTGACCCTTAATATTGCCATTAGCTGTCTTGTACTTACGGTAGTTCTGTAATCTACATCTCATTTTATCCAGTCAGGCTACATGACTGATTTCAAAGTATCTTTGCTTTGGAGTTACCCAGGAATGTTGTCAAAGCATCAAATGTACAGAACTGTACAAGTCAATCAACAGACTAGGAGATGGATGGAAGTGAGTAAGAGTAGTAGACTCAAGGTGTGCGTGACCATCCAGCTAATCCTTAAAGCAACTGCCTATTTTTGTTAATATTTTTTTAAAGTTTTGATTTGATGTCTAGAACCTAGGATGAAGACACTTTTCCCAAATAGCCACTCACAGACTGTAATATGCACTCTGGTACATGTGTAACATAAGAATGAGAACTTTGATGCCAGTTCCAAAATACCTAGCAACTAAGGAAATTAAGTAGTTTAAGCAGAATTTTCACATAGCAGATCAGCTATGCTTACTTCTGTGTCACCATACAAATAGGCATGAGTGAAACTAGATCAAACATGTACAAAAATAAGTATAACCATATGAAACATTAGATTGGTGAGGGAAATGTTTAAGAGAATGTTAAGAAAGGAAGATATAAATCTGTTTGGAAGATATGAATCTATTATCAATAGATGCAATCAATAATATACACAAATATAATGATGGAATACACAACAACCTCTTGCCATTTTACAGAGTTAATAAACTCAAAGATTAAAAAAAAAATACCGTTACCTAAACTGGCTGTTTGGAAATATGGGATACTGCCAGATTTTTGGGGGAGAGGAGCAAAGGTCAGGTGGGATGACAAAGTAGATATTACTGAATTTATATCTATCAGTAGCACACCAAAGCCAAAACAGCATGTCAAAGACAAATGAGATATTCTTTCAGTGACTATTGAAAACCCTTTGACATAAAAAGAAGTATGATGAGATGATTGATTAGTCTTTAAAAAAAATAGTCATATTGCACCGAGTAGCTTTACATACCTATGTTATGAAGCATTAGCTAAAAAACCCCCATTCTTTAAAATTTTAAAATGTAAGATGTAGGAAGTAAGGATTTATCCATATAAAAGAATAACGTGGCTTGATTATATACAGAGTTTAGTAAATTTACAATTCCTTGGAATTTAATATGTGGTTCTAATATGTGGGAGAAGAAGAATACCAGTTTACAAAAAGAGATGGCAAACTTCAGCACCTAGCAACCAAAACCTCATCATACTTTATAACACCAGATGGTGACAGGTTGCCGTAGTAACTTCAAATAACAGCCACCAGCACATAAATAAAGAAAAAACACTAATAGAAAGAGGGAAAGAGAACAGGATGTGAAAAGTGAAGCCATCATCTGATACTACCTTATCCTTTGATATTCTTAGACAATTGGGCACTCAAAATACAATGGGTGTCTTCTGCTTCCTCCCACTACACACACAATGTTCACTACCTTATTAGCAGAAAGGAAGCAAAAGTGTTCTACTTTCCCAACAGGGGACTAAATATCCTAAGGTACTTTTCAAAATATAAATGCAACTTCACACAACTGTGAATATAGAATAGAGCCAATCTCAGATATTCAAAAGTTATCTTTCTTCTGGTTCATACTCGCATTCAAGTAATAGACTTTATTGGGTAACTGAATTAACCTTTGTTAGGATTTACAACATACATTGAATCATAAGTAATCAAACTTCACCCAGCATGGTAAACCAACAACAAGAACTACTAATTGCTTACTTAAGGTTAAATTTAGCAGGTTGTGTAAAATCAGCTTTCTTCAGTTGACCTGGTTAAGGGTAATGTGCAAGATCAGCCCTTCAGACAGAGAATGTCTGTGTTCATATAGAAATTGCTTATGAACATTGTCAAGCAACTTTCTTTAATAATTGTGAGAGTAGAAGGGAATGAGAAATTTGTTCTATTAGTGAATCACAAAACTTTGAATGCTAATGAATTTGTCCAGAATATTGATAGTTTACAGTAGTAACATACAATATTTAAAACCACCGCAATAGAAATTAAATTGTCCATAGTAAGAGGTGTAATAATACTATGCACTTGTAATAAACAAGAAAAAATAATAAAAGGGGATTAAAAACAAAAGGCAAAAAAGAAGAAATAACACAATAATAATAATAAAATTGTTTTACATTGTTATTTTAGATTTATTTTTAAATGATTGTTTATTGCATGCTGCCCAGAATCATGTTTGTGAGATGTATGGCTATATAAAGTTGATCAATGATATAAAATAAAAATAACATAGTTAAGGTGCTGGATTACAAACCAAGAGACCATGAGTTCAAATCCTCCTTCTTTAGGTATGAAACACTCACAATATTTCTCAGCCCAACCCACTTCACAGAGTTGTTTCAGTGGAGAAATATGAAGAATGAGCAGTATGTTTATTGACTTGAGTAATACAGTTTTATTAGCTATGAATCTAATAAAGAAAATAAATCTAAAAATAGACCCAGTTCATGGCACTCATTTTTTTTAAAAAAAAAGTTCGTTCTCCAACATATGCTATTTCACACAACAAAATAAAAAGCAGAATCACCAGTTCTCAGCTCTTTTCACCACATAGAACTAAGGAACAGAGCATCTCCCTGGACGATCCATTCAGAAAGATG